AGAAGGAGAAGAGGAAGAAGAAGAAGAAGAAAGAGGAGGAGTAGAAGGAGGAGGAGGAGGAAGAGAAGGAGGAGGAGAAGGAGAAGAAAATGCACAAGATTTACCAAGTAACTGAAAGAAGCATAAGAACACATGTCATGGGAAAACAATTCCTCCTGCAAACCATATTGGTATCACCTTGATATCAACATGATTGTTATCAACATGACCATGATCATAAAGAGAGCTAGAAAATACCGATTTTTGTCCGATTTCTCCATAGAATTTGTTAACAGTCAAGCAAACAAAATACAATTGAATTCGTCTGTCTGTCTGTTATGTAAATACAAGACTTGTTTTTCTTTGTGTTTATACTATCAATGTCGTTACATCTGTGAGCGTGTTGCAGTAGAGCCAATATCTTAAGTGTTTTATATACAAGTAATCCTTCAAACTGCACATGTCGGCCTTGTTTAGCATATATATTACAAACATCCAACACCTGCTGAGAATATCAGCCATGTTATGGTCCAAGACCAGTAAATACTGAATGAGTGAATACTACTTAAAATCATGAAAACTTAACAATAATATACTCAACTTTTATCACGATTATGCTTGGTGAAATTCGCGCACGGTTATAAGCTCAAAGGTTATGAAGTATTTTTACTCCAATCTTTTTCAACTTTTAACGGATTTCGAACCTGTATATCGTTTCTGTAAGATGTTATTTCAAAGAAAAAATATTTTGCTTTTTGTTCTATTTAATATAGTTATCAATCTTTTCTTTTCGCACTTATAATAAAATCTATATCAAGTCTTTTGACCTTTGATATTTACGTTTTTCCTTTGAAATCACTGACTGAACCAGTGTTAAAAAGCTATTACAGCGCTAATGCTATTTTTTAAACTCGTTTCTATATGAATATTTTCCTGTGTTTTCATATGTATATGGGTGACTGAAGTCATTTATCAAGCTCTTGCCATTTTCTCTTAGTTTTGACTTCTTTTCTAAGTTATTCTGTACATGGAAGCATTTTCCAACCAAGAGTGGACTTGACCAAATGTTTCACGATGAATGTTTCTTTTAAATTTCGTGTTTTATATGGTTTCTGTTAGTTTAATTATTCCTGGTCGTTAGTGCAATTGAATTCAAACAAAATTGTCTTTCAAAAGAACTGATAGTTTCTCAATCAGGCTATCACTCCCAAGAGAACGAAAAAGAGAAAATCAGTGGGGAAATTGGGGGGGAAAAAGTAGAGAAATGAGAAGGAATTGGAGCAATACCCATCTATAAATAATCTATAAAACATTCTGATTTATGAATTGAATCTAAGCGAGCATCATTCGAACTTTTTACCAGTTATATAATAAGCAAGTTTCCAAACAGATCTACAGAGAATCTGATCCACATGGTCAGCGCGAGTATAGCCCTTCTGCTTCAACTAAGATCAATATGATTGTTGAAGATTATATTTTAGCAAGAATGAGACTTCTAAGTGTTATCCAAGTATGATTAATTTAACAATGCTTGATACATTTTTCTTTCTACCTCCATTTTGATTTTATTTCGACTCCAAACTTTTCTATTGCTATTTCTGAATAAACAGCTTGCAGTATGAGAGTGAAACACAACTTTCCCTACGAAAAATCTGCCCTATTTTTAAAGCTTCTTTAATTGGGCTAGTAAAAACGAGTCCACTAAAAAAATCATAGTGCTGAAAGATAAAAGAGATATCTAAAATTGTAATTACTTGAAACGTTCCAAACAAAAAGGAGATAGAAATAACATGTATACATTTTAAAATCTGTGCTTAGAAAAGATGGATTGACAAATTCGCTGAAGCAAATCTTTAGGATTATTTGTCGAGAAACCTCTTCATTGATCGAGCAAATGAGATTTGTCTTTCTTAGTAAGCTAAAATCAACAGAACTCTAAAACCTTACAAATTGTTAATGAAATTGGAACGTCATAATACCTTAGGTAATATTTCCATATTGTCCTAATAAAGATTCTTTGTTCTATGTACAATCTACGAAGTCCTATCTCTGTTTACTTACGTCTTCAGTGTTCAGTAAGCTTTTTCCTGCAGAATTGTCCACTGGGAAGCAAGAGGAATCGATCGAATAGATCTAAGTTCAAAACTTCCCTGGTTATAAAATCAAGCCTAGAACTTGTGTTCAAGGATACTTAATCTCTCATTATACAGCGCCCTTTACGAATCTTTAGTCGACCGTAAGGGTTCTAGTTTGATTGTCTTTGAGTCGGGGCAATGGGTCGTACCTAACAATATAGTTATTTATTTTTCAATCTCTTTCGAGGTCGCACAAGTCAGTTCTGTTTTTCCTTTTGTTTTTTACGGTCTGTCTGGACAGTCATAACCTTTGCGTGGAAGCCAGACGTTTATACCAATGCAATGCTTTATACCACAATCTACCTCGGTCGACGTTGCTTTTCTTTGATTTCTGGTTCGAAAAAAATCAACCGAGCCTTCTTTCTCGTTACACTATCTTTTTGCGCACTTTTGGGGAAAAAAGCTATAGTAGCAACGTTCGTTCATAATTGCAACAAAACAAAATATTTCTTAGATTTTAGAACCGCGCAAAAGACGCGCATCGCACCGTACAGGATTTCTTACCGCGCGGCTAAATTTGACCAGAAAATTATATCCAAGAAAAGCTAAACAGACATAATATACCCATCAACCAAACAAATTGGTAATCCAATATTGCGCATAGGTAACCCTGGCCCTTAGATGATAGTCTCCCTAAGGCATTACCTGACATCAAAGCGCACCGACGCAGCATCTGCGTAATTAGACGGGGCAGTGTTAAGTGGTGCACACATAACGAATCTCAGTCATGAGTAATACCCATGCCTGTCTCTCAATAACTTTAGGTTATTTGACTCTCAAGTTACTGTTACGTTTTGACAGGACAATAGTTGAAGGTCGATACTAGATTCTTTATAGATGTTATAGATAGATTCTGTTACTAAATGAAGGAAGGCTCATCAGCTGATCTCACGATATGAACGGCGCTTTATTCACGCATACATCTTCTTCGAGTCTGCGCGCAGCCCGACTTTAACTCGGTTTAATGCTTAACCACAATCACGTTCGGCTCAGTGCACGCACTGGCTAATTTTCTTCTTCACTTTTGGTATATTGAAGGTGTATATATGTATATATATCCCAAAGATGGACTTATAGAATAGTTCCTTTCACAGTTCCCTCCGCCATCTTGAAAGGTAGCGGTGGTGCCTTTGCATCGAAGCGAGACTAACGGTGAGAGTGCAATGATAGAGACCTTTTTTAACACCTTGATATGTCTCTATCATTGTAAGCTCACCGTTCGTCTCGCTATGATGCAAAGGCACGGCTACTTTTCAAGATGGCGCCGGGAAGTGTGAAGGGGACTATTGCGTGCGTAATTATCATATTATCCACCGTTCTCTTTGTAACCTCAAACTCATATTTACGTACGTACTTGTACCCTATTAACTCAGATGACGATACAATTAATATTACTTAGATTCTTTTTGGTTTTCGTCCGTTTTCCCCTGCGCATCTGTGCGCTTCTGTTGTACGATGCGCGCGTAGGCGATTAATATGTGAATCATGTATGCATAAAGAGAATCAAGGTTGGTGTCTCTCGTGTCTTGGGTCTCGGGTGCGATTCCTGGAATCGGCATCGCATGTGAGTAGAGCTTCCGGTTGGGGTTTCTCCCTTTATTGTAGGGGTTTTCTTCGGTTTTCCTCCCCCTTTAAATAACCTGCGAAATTCCAATCCGTGCATGAGTTAGCCGTACCCTGACGTTGATCATCTCAGAAGTTGTTTCAGGATATCGATAAAATTTGAATGTTTTTTTAAAAACCTATGAGAGCGTTTTCACGTGACGTCACAGCAGCCATTTTGGTGTACTACTGAAACAATACATTCACTATCCTCGGGGAATTGAACTCTATTTTTATGCCAAAACCTTGCAGAAAGTTTGTATTGTTTGGTACACCAATATGGCTGCTTTGTCACGTGAGTGAAAATTTTCTTTGATGCTACGATGATTATAGTGAGGATAAAACAAGTGTGTGAGATCACATAGGGTCGAACCATGGATCTTAAAAAATTCATGGGCGAACTTTGGACCTCTTGTGGACTTTGCCGCATTTAGTCGAATTTGTTCCTCTTGGTGCTATGATGTCATAATAGAGGCTTTGCACCATCACGTGATGGCAGCCATGACAGGCGGCACAACAATAGAGTCTTTTCCCACTGGGACACTGAATTCTTTCTCATGTAAATCAGATTAGACCAGATTGAATTGTTCCTGCCTCCTGTCATGGCTGACATCACGTGATAATGCAAAACCTCTGCTGAGCCACAAGTGCGCGCCTATTTTGCATTCATAAACGCGTGCGCTGGTTTTGAATTCTTTCAAAACGGCAATGCGTTGGCATGAGAAATTAAGATACTATTACTCGTCAAAGAGCAAGAAAATAGAACGAAATGTAAAAGATAATTTTCTAAATATAAAAATTTGAAGTGGAATATTTAAATTCAAGACATCTCTTCAAAATTAAATAAAGTGGTACTAAGCCTGAAGCGAGATGGCGTTTTACCCCCGTCTCTAAACCATAATCCTTTTCACACTGCTTTTGTTCTTTAATTATGACTATTGTTCCTGTATTCTCTAAGGAATCAAAAATTTTAATATGAAAGAATTTTAAAAACTATTATGGTATAGAGTCGGGGGTAAAACGTCATCTCGCTTCAGGCTTATTGGGATGGAAACGCTAGAGCAAATGACACCAGACAGACCTCAAAGGGCTTTGCAATAGTTAGTTCAAACTGGTTTTAAATGAAGGTCGACCAAGACACAGTTAGTTTAATTACACTCTCTTCAACATTAATTACAAATGAATTTGGCACTTTTAGTTTTCAAACTATTATTTAAATTTGCAATTAATTCTGTCCCCTTAAGCGCCAGTATCTTAACATGAATGCATTTGCTTTCTAATCGTTTTCAATTTTATTTATTTCACAATTTTTTTCTTTCGTCTTTGTTGCCTGGATACGCAGGACACCCGCGTGTTACAGCCGCCGGCGTCTCTAACCTCAACGACCAATCTTATTTCTAAAATATATAAATTCAAACTAGCTTTGTGAAACTTAGTTTCACAGGCTTTTATTTGAAAGTCAGCATTTTTTTACTTTTTGTTCTCTAATAGTCTTCTCGTTTTATTTGTAAAAATTTAATTATTATGTAAAAGTAACCAGATTAATAACAAAAGATATTATTTTATTCCATCGCCTCTTGAGGGAAATAGTTCAACAAGCCTGTTATTATACCATTATTAAACCTTTTCAAACCACGTGTCATTCTCTTGAGAATAAGACTCTTTGTTTGAGTTGTATCCATATGTGTCTTCTCATGTGTAACCGTTAAACAAAGAAATGATACTCTAGGAAATGACACGTGGTCTTGAGAATAAGATTCTTTGTTTGAGCTGTATCTATATTCATGTGTCTTCTCTTGCGCAACCGTTAAAGAAAGAAATGATACTCTAGGGAATGACACGTGGTCTTGAGAATAAGATTCTTTGTTTGAGTTGTATCCATATTCATGTGTCTTCTCATGTGCAACCGTTAAAGAAAGAAATGATACTTTAGGGAATGACGCGTGGTCTGGAATGGACCAAACATTACGTCCAAGCTAAAAAATAAGGTCTCGTCTGTCTTATCTAATCACATGAGCAATAAATATGTACCACAGTCAGTATCCAATCAGATGTCGTATTTGTAAGCAAATCAAAATTCTCAAATTTAATCCAATTTGATATTCAGCTCACACTTATCAACCAATCATAGCTTGTTCATATGACGTGAAGAATTTCTTGCCAATCAGATCTCATATTATACACCAGCCAATCAGAGACTGTATTTACAGGGGTTTTTTTTTTTTACTTCATTAGATTGCGCAATTATATTCCAATAAGAAAGTAACGGATTATAGTATCGAGAAAAACAGTTACGAGATTATAGTCACTTTTTCCACACTTTTTTACATAAAAATAGGATTTTTATCTTTTTTTATTTAACAATTTTTACTTCAGGAATATTAATAATATCTGGTATTGATGGACCCTTTTGAAATGAAAAGAAAATTTCCTTGGATGATATTCGTCTAGCATGAAAACACAATTGAAATCGCACCCTTTCCTTGATGAAAGCTGTTACATTTCTTCTGTATTTCGAATTCCACGTGAGCCTCTCGCATTCGACATAATTTTGTTGAGGGTCGATTGTCCAGCTTACTCTACAACAGTATCGAATACAGTCTGAGTTTATTAAATGGACAGCTAGTAGTTGCACGGTTTTAAAATTTCTCTCTCAAATTCACTGTAAAAATAACCTTTATTAAGCGCACTTCCTTTAGTAACGAAGGTTTCCGTTCTAATAATAGGGGTACCACTGTATCATTAAACGCTTTGTACCGATTCTAAAAGTTGGTTAAAAACAATATTGTACTTCTTTTGCTTTGCTTTGCTTTGCTTTGCTTTGTTTCGTTTCGTTTCGTTTCGTTTCGTCTCAGTTAGTTTTATCACTTTATAATCAAATCTGAAAACCAAAGCGACTCATTCCTCTCCAGACTTCCTTGTTTTGATTCTTTGGAGGACGCTGACCAATAAGTAAAGAAGGCTCAGAGGATTACCACGTGACCCTAGTTCCATCACAACACCAGCTATTGGTGCCATTCAGCTTGTTATATCATATGGAATAAAGAGGGAAAGTACAATGGTTGAGATGATGACAGTTATTGTGTAAATCCAAAACACAACGTTATCCAAGACTCGCGCTGCAAAGTGCCACTTCTTGGGGCGAACGTCGTCATCTTGACTTCCATTGTTATTTTCCAAAATATCATCAAGCTTGGTGATCACTTCGTCGAGTTTCTTGTTCAGAGAGGCACAGCTCTGGCGTTCGTTTGGAGCAAGGCGTTGTTCGGCTCCCCCGTGATCTTGAGATGCGCGCTTGTTGAGCGCGAAGTATAACGATGTGCGATCGGCGCTGACCATCCCATTGCCCCTTTGGCTACCTTCTCTCCCGGATTCCTTTTTCATCGGGTTTGAATGTCGAAACAATTTTGCCAGGATCTTAAAGACCAAGAATTCAAACCATCTTGGCATGTGTTTGGAGGTGCTATCTCCATGATAGACTCCCACTATAAGACAGCTTAGGATCAAAGACACTCCCAACTCGACCATAATGGCAGTAGAATATCGCGAGAGTAGTGGAGTAACCTCAGATGTAGCAGGGATATTCTCCGTGAAGATGAGTGTATACACGCTCAGTCCTAACATAATTGTGATTAACAACGAGATCCTCTCGCCAGATTCCGGAGGCAAGAAGTACCCGAACATTCCCAGCACCGCTAGCGCGATGATAGGGAAAATTAGATTGTTGATGTAGAACAGGACTTTGCGACGAATCTCGAAGGTATATGTGATATCTATGTAGGGATCTGGACAACAGCTATACTTAACGACATTGCGCTTTGCCGTAGCGGAGAGTAGGTCCCATTCTCCGCTGACCGTGTAGCCAGATAGGTCAGCGGTGTCTCTCTTTAGGCTCAGATTCAAGAATGAGCTTGCGTAGGTCCAGGACCCGAACACCATGGTACAGGTTTGGGTGTCAAAAGGAAAATACGTGATGTCGATCTTGCAGATGGATTTGACTTCAGTTGGTGCGAACCACTGGAAGGAGCCATCGTTGAACAGGGAGACTTTGGTTTGGAAATTGTACATTTCTCCGCTGTCTCCTTGGATACTGAAAGGAAATGAATGAGGGATGTTTAGAGTGCTTTACTGCGACCCAGATGCATTCATTGATATTAAAAGGAACTGACCTACTAGTTATTTTTTGAATGACGGAAGCCAAAAACAGAAACGACATGGCGTTACCCCACGCTTCGCTTCTTTATGTTAATTATTAGTAATAAATTAATGATTCGTGAATAATTGTTAATCATAGCATTTCAGAAAACAGCCAATTGATGGTTTTCAACCATTCCCAAGAGAATTAAATAACAAAAGACACGGCGGCCATGTTGGAGGATATAACAAACGAATTCATTGACAATTCTTTTGTTAAGTTCCTCCAACATGGCCGCCGTGAAGATTCTTAAAACAAGGCGGCTATGATGTCAACATGAACTCAGAAATAAGATCGTAAAATGAATTGCTTAGAGACAAGACGAGAGAATATAATGCTCCATACTTCGCGTAAGACTGAAGAATGAAATAATTTGATCGCCATGTTGGCGGATAGAACAAACAAATCCAACAGCAAACCCCCAACATGGCGGCTGTGACGCAAACATATAACTCAGAAATAAGCCTGGTAGATCTTCATAAAGATAAGACAAGTGAATCTAAGCTAAGGTACTGGACAACTCGTGTTACTCTACCTGTTGTACAGAACAATGTCTGGTTTCCAGACCAGTTTCGGGGTGATATTAATGAAGGTTATGCCACCATATTCTGATGCGTTCCACGTTAAGTATGGGTTTGACCAGTGCTGTAGACCAGGAATAAAAAGTAGAATATAATAAGTTCAAACAAATGAATTATATTGAAAAAAAATTTGGTTGTGCTGTGTGCCTGTACCTATCCTCCTCGCGCCTAAATGGCACATATAGGGCCTTCACAGAGCTCTTCCACCTTTCCCTGTCGGCCGCCACAGTCCGTGTGCTGTGTGCATGCATGCAGCCGATAAAGCAAGCGCCGAGGATTGGCAGAACACAAGAGAAGTGTTAGAAAAGAACGACGCGTAGCTGAGTTCTTTTATCTCTTTTTTCTCATTCCTGTCTTGTTATTTACCTGTCGGATCCAAATCTTGCTTGTCAATATTTGACTTTTTGCGTCCTGAAAGTAAGTAGATTTTTTAAAAAATATTTTCAAATATCACAGAAATAGACCTCTTCCCCTTGGGCGCAATGTTTGGGCATTTCAGACCACGTACATTCTCTTGAGAATAAAATTATTCGTTTGAGTTGTGTCCATATTCAAGTGTATTCTCATGCACAATCGTTAAACAAAGAATTGATACTCAAGGGAATGACACGTGGTCTGAAATTGGAAACATGCCTAAGGTAAGTGGATCTCTTAGAGGAAAAGGTGGAGGCACACTTACAAGTTGAACAAGTTGGCTGAAGGCAAGGTCGAACCTCACATCAACAGGGTCACTATGTTCGATAACTGGTCTAACTTCACTGCTATAGTTCGTAAACAGATCTTTGATTAGCTTGTGTTCGTGGTCATTATGGCGAACGGCTGTGCGAGAAATTATAGCAAAAAAATATGCTGAAATCAGTAATTATCACATAAAAATTTTGAAATCATTTATTCATTAAATTAAAAGGAACTGGGCGCCTTGTTGTTTTGACATAAACAAAGACCCCAAAGAAAGATCTTTCACTCGTTAATTTAACTAAAATGGCGGCTATAACGTCACGTAAAAATGAGTAAAGGTCACGTGTTGATCACGTGGTGGTCAATTGTCACGTGGTATTCAGAAATATAGTTGAAGTAGTCAACGATGACGTGGCCAGCGGTTACTTCATGGCCAGCAGTAATAAAGAGATAGTTGTAATATTTTGACCGCCAACACTAGAAAAATTTGACAAGATTTTTGTTGTGATAAGTCACAAAACATGTTTTGTGGAATGCAGATTTTTTATTTCTATATTAAGAAGTGTCCAATGATTTTTTAAAGGAACTATGCTTGGTCCTTGGTTTTCCTAATCTTGCAAATTTGTAAGGGCATAAGGTATGAAAAACAAATATTTTATAAAACAAAAACAACTTAAGAAATTAGCAAATAAACTCATAATATAAACTCCTGTGGAAGGAAAACAAAAAGATAAAAGCAAATAATTAAACCAAACCAAACAAGAAAATTATGTCAGTATGATATCTATTTTATACAGAAATTCTAAAGCCTTCATATCAGAAAAACGACAACAACACACACACACACACAAACAACTAACAAACAGTTCTGGATAAAATTAAATTTGAGTACGGTTTAGAATTAGCAATGAAAGCTGCAAAGTGGCGGTTATTCGGCGTGTTTACAAACTTGTAACATATTTTCACGATAATATAAGTCATAAAAGTCAGTTGCATAGGAATAAGAATGAACAAAAGAGTATTTCGTGTAAGGTTGCATATGTGTTAGTAGAATCCAGAACATTCTGGGAGCTAGATAGTTCTGCTCAAATATCACACGAATTCGAACAATGAACTATTGTTGACTCTTTGCAGGAGAGCAAGGAACGCATTTTGTTATCTTTTTTAAGAAAAATAAATTAAAAATATATAGCTTTAGAAGAATTCTACAGGCATTTATACGAGAAAGATTTACTGAATTTTCTCATTGAGGATCAGAAACAAAGTAATTTATAAGATGCCTTAGAAAATAAAAATCTGTATAGCGGTACCGTAACTAATGAAGTCTAATTTTGAACCCCAAATATCTGTTTTTAAAACAAAGATATAAAAACTGTGTTGAAATGTACGAGATGACATTTAACATTAAATTGGCTTCCCGCTGGAAAACACGAACAAAACTGCGTAGAATTGTGAAAAAAATTTGTCACGAACAATTTATCTCGACAAATTACTAATGGCAATCAGTTTTGTTTTGATAACTGGATTTTTATGGAAATAGTGGTTAGGGACTGTTATATAAGGCTTTGTTGGTTTTCGTACAAATGTATACTTTTCTTTTAAAGTGAACTCTATAAGTGTACTTATCGAAGATCTGTAGTTCTCTACATCCAAGGAATATTTCTGGTATCAACTGTACTAAAACATTATGTAGCATTATAACGGCTTCTTTTTCAAGAATTTTTCCGGGGTTTATGTATTGAGAAGTTAGTTTTATTTGACGAAGTTAACGGCTAAAACTGCCCAATGAACACTGATGTGGCTAAACGTAAATAAAAAGCGCAACCAAACTTACCATCAGCTTCGTGAACGCCCAGCAATCCTACAAACGTATATACAGCAACAAATATCCCCAACATCTTCGAAAATATGATTCTAAAGCGTAAATTCTACATCGGGAGAATGTTTGTGGTCGATAAATTGAAGATTTTATTAGCAGTTGATCGTCACTCTTTGTACCACTAAATGTTTAAAGCTTAACTATAGTTTTCTTTATCTCTCCACAAAGCCAAAATTGGCTTTAGGCCTTTCAGTTCTTTGTTTTTACAAATTCAATAGACGATTTTGAGGTTTCAATATTCAGTTAAGCGAAACAATGACTTAACATGACTTAAAATCTCTGAAATTATTTGTCCCACTGAGCGACAAAAGTGAACAATTTTGAAGCCCTTTTCTGATTTGCTCAAAAAAAACTTGAAAATTACTGCACAGAAAACCGCTGAATGTTTATAGTGTAAATTTATCACTCAAAACTATCATATTTCACGTGAATATTTCTAAATTTCCTGTACATAAGAGCTTTAAAAAAGCCCATTATTATTACTAAAGATATATCTTTTATTACATAAATCACTGCATAAAAGCAGCTTGAAATACTCAATTTAAAAAATTGAATAAATATGCAAATAGGCATTTTGTGGTATAAAAGCTTGTACTTTTGTTATTTTAACTCGGACTGCTAATTACTCAATCATGTGGCACAAAAAGCGAACAGTTCATCGACTAATTCTGTTAAAATGTGTGGAATGAAAAAGATAATAAAAACCAGGAAAGACTACTTTATTTAACAACTCAGTACGACGTAAAAGACTAGTAAGATCAAAATTGAAGATCAATATTTACTGAGGCATTAGTGTTTACCGCTCTACCGTCGGGTTTGCCAGTAAGATGGTTGAATAAAGAATTTGACCAAGCAGCGAGTTATAAGATAAATGCAAAAAAAAAAAAATCTTTTATTTAGACGTCTATTGGTATGAAATTATGGAATAAAGTAAATCGATCACAATCTTTATATAGTCGAACCTTTGTGCGGACGTCATTACGGACACCTCTCTATTGCGACCTGGCGTTCTTCGCTTCTGTTTGCTCATTTATTCACTCATTGATCGACCTCTATAATACGGACACCAATCTAATGTGGGCAATTCCTTTGGTCCTCAACCCACCCATTTTCTAATGCGGGAACTTCCTTTGGTCCTGGCTACACTCATTTATCAATTTAGTATTATTTATTAATAAAAATAGACCTCATTTATTATGTAAATATACCACACAGGAAATGAGATAACCTGGTCAACTCTAACCAAACACATTTTATTTGTATATAGCACTCCAAGCTTGTTGCTGCCAGATTGAAATCATCATCACAAATGCCTTCAAAAGGAAAACCGGGTGCTTTTTGAGACAGCTCTATCGATGTGGTCTTCCACAACACTTCCAAAGGGGAGGGGGGAGAGACAGCCGTGATTGATTGCTCAACTGTTTTTAAAAGGTTTACTGCGAATTCCTCATTCCCCACCTCTCCCCCAGTAAAAAACGCTTTTTCCCTAACGCCCGAAACGTTAAGTACAGTTCCAATCTTTTTACGCRATGTTCAGTTAAGTTTCCTTCTTATTAACTTATGCTGATCCACTAAATTGAACACCAGATTTTTCATTAACTTATGATGGTATGAAACCAATCCAAGATGGCCGCCGTATCGTAGAATTAGTCTACTGTAGTAAAACTTCTCAATGAAAATAAGGTATACTGTAGTATTCCTCTGTAGTATTCTATAATATTCTATGCTGTAGTATTCCTCTGTAGTATTCCTTATTTTCATTGAGAAGCTTCAAAAGCCTTCCAAACTTTGATAAAAACCGACCTAAATGCTAATTAGTGATAAGCAAAGCATCATGGGAACTATGCAAAGTTCCCCAATGGACTAATTCGTCGATACAGCGGCCATCTTGGATTTCAAGGCATTAAGACGGCGCATCGATCACCTTAACACATAAAAGGAACACAAACACACGAAACTCTATATATTCTCTATCATCTTTGATTTGTTCCCTGGCATGATGGCCGCCGTAACGTCGAAGTAGTAGACTATTCACTCGCTATAATAACCGGAAGAGTTCAGTTCTTTCGACGTCAAAATCACTTGTTATTCCCTCGCTTTAACTTCAAAAAAGTCTTTGAACTTCAACTAGGATAATTAATTCTATGTTACTCTAATTTACTGAGAGTCTGTTGTTGAGAGTGCCTGCGATGCCAAACCACTGAGCAGGTTTAGATTCTCAAAAATAAATCCTTTCTTTACGCATTAGATATTCACAATTTACATATTTCATTACTGATCAGTTTTCAGTGATTTCTTGCATGATATATGAGTGATTTCTTGGCATATTCTTGGTTTGCATATTCCCAAGTTTACCTCTCCTATTGCGCTCCCTCTCACCACTAGCCGTGGTCGAGAGTTCCTCATTGGACCAGCCATGTTAGTAGAATTGTTTGTTTTTTCTCTCCATTACGATTTTCTCCTGGTTTATTGGATTCCTTTGTTTCTCCGCAAAATAATAACAATGAAAAACTCGGGCCCATTGTAATCTTTACGTCTTTCTAATTAGTTTTCCGGCGACTACGTTTTTGAACTACTGCATTAGTTTTTCAGCGCTAAGATTTAGACCATCAGTTTACTTTGTGGGAGACTTTTATTATATTTACACGCGCTGTATCGTTCCTTCTGTCATATCTGCCTTTTCGACCGGAAAGGAAGACAGAAAAGCCTTAAAAAGGGATCATAAAGTAAAAGGCAAGTGTTGAGCCAAGGATGATAATGAGGATTACCCAGAAGAAAAAACAGTCCAACACAGCTGCGGCGTATCTCCATTCACCAACTTTTCCTTCAGTTGTTTTCATCTCTTTGATGTGGTCTACAATCGTGTGAACATAGTTGGCAATCTCGTCTAGTTTTTCTTCCGATGCATCCTGGGACATGTTGGACACGACTGAGGAATGGAAGACTTTTCCATTTGGGAGGCTGGTCTGCGGTGGTTCCAACCTTACAGCCAGTTTATCCAACTCGAGTGGAGAAGAATAGTTACTGATGTGATGCAGATCATAAGGCGTGCCTTTTGCTTTGGTAAGATTAAGCATTGTTCTTCCCTTCTCTGCTTCAAGCGCGAACGATTCTTCCACCGGTGGCTTCATCAAGAGCATAGGACCAAGAAGATCGAAAATAAGTTTTCGGAACACTCTCGGGATTTTCCGATCAGGATCTTTGTGATAGACCCGGAGGATACAACACGTGATTAGCAATGCCATGGCAACGATACACAGAACAGTAAAAGCGTACTTTCCAATCAAAGGTGTCACTTCTGAAGTGCGTGGAACGTTTTCCGTAAACACGAGCATGAAGACGGTGAGACCCAACAATATCGTAATAACGAGACCCATTCGTTCTCCAGACTCCGGAGGAAGATGGAATGAGAATACTGTCAACATGGCTAAGACAAGACAAGGTACAATGAGATTCGTCAAGTAAAAAAGAACTTTCCGACGAATGTGGATTGTGTAGGTAATGTCTAGGAAACGATCGGGGCAGCAGCTGTACTTGACAGCGTGCCTCACAGCTGGGGTATTCACCAAATCCCATTCTCCACTGATCGTGTACATCGACATGTCAGCCGTTGCTCTCTTTTTGGTGAAGTTCAGCTGGGATTCGGTGTAGGTCCAAGAGCCGAACTTCAAGGTGCAGAACTGTTCGTCGAAAGGGAAGAAGGTGATGTCAATCTTGCAGATGCTATGGATCTCTGTGGGAGCGAACCATTCGGTGTAACCGTTGTATCTGATGGTTGCTTTGGTGTCAAAGCCGTCAACGGCGCCGGTCTCGCCAAAACCAATACTGAATCAAAAAAAAAGTGATTTATACCACGTTTTTATTTTTTATTCTTTTTAACTTGATAATGACGTTATGTAACGTTAAAACGCCATCGTCGTTTTTTATTATGTTATTTATGGATTTTAAGAATTTATTAGCATACAATTTTGGCTTCAAAATGAATAACAAAAAGCAAGGAATGATGCTTGGTAAAACTTTTTCAGTGTTTTCTCTCTATCCTGCTTTATTTTTTGTTTATATGTACTTGTTGCTACTGAGGCCGTAGCTCAGTCTCCGTTCGACACTGAATGAGTTTACAATCCCCCCTTACTATTACAAATAGCTATCGGATAGGGTTGATAATGATAGAGAAAGGCAAGACCTTACTTGTTATAAAGTATTATGTCGGGTTTCCAGATCAACTTCGGATCAACGTTGATGGACTTTATGCCAGCATATTTGGCTGGGTCCCACGTCAGGAACGGATTGGTCCACATCTGTGAACAGATAGATAGAGGATATTACATGGACGCGCGGAGAAACGAAATTTATCTTCGAGTGTTGAAAAGATCTCTCACGAGTGAGCGCAGCGAACGAGTGAGAGATTTTCAACACGAGAAGATAAATTGCGTATCCCCAAGCGCCAATGTAATATTCTGTTTATTATATGATTATCAATGAAGTATGTTTTGGCTTTTTCAGGCAATTCTTTCCGTGTATTTTTGAAAAGCCATCGCAATGGTGTTATTTTCACGTGTGAAGATATCAATTTTTCGAAATAGAGAAAAATAGATATTTCATTGGTAATTATATAATAAAAATTATTATTATTATTATTATTATTATTATTAAATGAATCTAGAGATATAGGACTTGGTTTATCTTCATCATTCTTTTTTTGAGGAATATAAAACGCATGCGCATTTCTCTGTACTGCGATATAAACACTTTGGGAGCTGTAGAGCACGAAAGAAGCAAGCTAAAGAACACAAGACGTAACTGACTGTTACTCTTGCTTTTAGAGTGAAGAAATCACTCTCATCAAGTGAATTTTGATAGGATAAGACTGAGGACCGTTTTTTAGTTACAAACCTGTCTTAACCACACTTTGCTCTGTAGAATCTGGTCTTTGCTATTCTGTAAACACAATCAATCATATCATTAGAATCACAGAATCACAGAATCACTGAAAAATGTAGACTGAGATTCTTAAGTGAAAAGCTAAATGAAGTCATATTAGAAGCCTACACGAAACTTTTGTTAAATTCATCCAACATGGCGGCCATGACGTCACAGACACACCAAGCTGAAGTTTAACGACTGACACCACGAAAAGATACAATCGCCATGTTGAATAAAGTATAAAAACCTACGCGAAACCTTTGTTTAATTCATCCAACATGGCGGTCATGAAGTCACCGAGACATGCTAAGCTGAAGTTTAACGACTGACACTACAAAAAGATACAATCGCCATGTTGAATAAAGTATAAAAACCTACGCGAAACCTTTGTTTAATTCATCCAACATGGCGGCCATGACGTCACAGACATCATCATAAACTAAGAAATAATAATCTCACAACCTCCCACTAACTCAAATAATAAACAAACACAACTCTAAGCATATCGTATTTATTTCTAAACGATTTCGTCGGAACTCTAGTACACAATTAATAAATGAACTAAAAAAAAGACTTGAACTCAAAGCTCACCACTGACTACTAAACTGCAATACCATTATAAAGTCCAATTTTTCTAAGTTCCTTTTTTTTGCGTAATTATTTCTAAATAATATCGAGTTTATGGGGCTTCACCTAGTTGGAGTTTCCTCTGTTTTGATTGTCCCTCGCTGGTTTTAAAAAACATTTTATTACTTATTAATGTTTAATCTTTTTATTTTTCGACTGTTTTGTCTCTGCATTAGTTTGTACTTGAGTTTAATATATAAAGAAATAATATTTTTCTTTCTTCATCGTAAAAAAACAACAACAACAACAAGCAAACTTACTAAGTTTATAAGTTGTGCATAAGCCAAGTCGAACTGAACCTCTACAGCTTCGGTCTTGTTAATAACAGGTCTGGCATCTTTATTATACTTGGTGAACAGATCGGCAAGCAGTTTGTGCTCGATGTCATTTTCGTGAGCACCTAAATGGAGAAACAATTTTGCAGGTATCAAAAATTGGGCGCAGCTGACTTAAGCCTGGTTCTGACTAGCGACACAAGCCGACGCAAGCAAAAGCACAAGCGCAAGCGAACTCAAGAAAAGCAAAAAAGTCTTCCCCCCGTTTTCTTGCCCTTGCGTCGATTCATTTCATAACGAAAGTATGGATTGTTAGGACGGCCGTTACGCTGCTGGTCAGAATCAAGCTTTATCTCACACAATTTCCGACCAGTAACTTCACGGGTCATTTAAATATTGCTTTGGATTTTTATAAGGAATTTCCTAGACGAGGTTGAATAACTTTACTCTGCCTAAAAGTTGGCAAAAGCTTCAGTTCTGGTATTGAATGGGAAAGAAATCCCATGCAACCTGATATCGAGACGTACTGTGCATCTTCATCGAGGAACTTCAAAATTTATTACTCGATGGCACACGAAACAAAGAGTTAATTTTCAATGTAATGCAGATCTGCCTTTTTCTTTTTCAAGTCGTCTGATATCCGAGCATTACATTAAAATCTTATATAATTCTCGAAGGTTTTCGAAAAGAATTTTATACGAAAGAACTGCAGAAAAATAGAGGAATGTGTAATAAAATACTTTTAAATYAAATCAAGAAAAATGCAAACTGAAGCCAAATATCTTCAATATCTACAGCTGTCTACACAAAACGGTCTGCGTTTGTAAAACCGTCGAACAAGCCATAAATCACCCTGAATCAAGTCCTACTCAAAATGTGGCTTTTGGTAGGAAGAAAGCCTAAAAAAGCTGACATTACACTTTGACTGCCTCAAACCGGCAAGATTATCTATTTAAGCTAGCATTTCCGAAACAAAAACTGTAAGTTAAAAGCTGTAAAGTTAATGAATAGAGGTAGAGTGAGCTATAGATATTTCTACAATTTAGAAATGTACAGGTTTTAAGCAGGAAATGAGACAGAGAATTCAACAATGGTGGTACAAAAAGAAACTTAATTCTACGGAAATCGCCATTGTAGCTCAGTGTTAAAAGCACAAAACCTTTAAGCTTTAGATCCAAACGTGATTGATAAGCTGTTCAAGGTTTTTACAAGGCATTATCGTTTCTGTGGAAGGTGTTATTTCAAATTCACTTCATAGATTTTACATTTCACTATCCGAAAATACCTGTACTTAATCCAAGGATGTTGCGTTTGCCGCGCGCGTAAACTCAGAGCCCCAAGGTTAAAAATCTGTTACCAGACTTTCAACTTGCGGTATACTCCAAACTCTACTAAAACGTACTTACCATGTGCAGCAATCGTTGATATCACAGCCAGAAGTACCAAAGTAAGAAGATTTTTGTCTCTCATGTTTCCAAAAAGCTCTCTTGTGTTCAGAATTCTCGACAAACCTGCGTAGCACTGACACTGTGGGAAGCGGTGAATCTTTGAAATGATCAATCGTAATTGGACTGTTGTAACCTGGGTCTATGACTTATTAATTCCGATTTCAATAAAAACGCAGAATTTCGAGTGCTTCTGACCCGAATGAAAGACAGCGCAACTGTTTATTAGAATTTATGTTGTCAGTTATTAAATACAGAAAAAAATCAATAATAAAACGCGATATTTCCAACGCAGAAACAATGACCAGAACCATGGGAACTTAATACAATTAAGATTTGTGCGAAAAAATCTTACCCCCTACAGATCTTTTTTACCGGCTTTTGCTTTGAAGGTTTTGTACTAACGGTTTTCAAACTGATTAATCCCCTAAATAAGAAAATATGTTGACTTTTTTTGGGCATTTCACGAACTTCTGTTCATTGAAGATGACAGGTTAAAATGATAAATCAGTTCGAAGAAGCATTCAGAACTACAAATGTGAGAACTGCAAGTATAAATATGCAAGGAGAAACCAGATCAAATCGTCTGTCGATGCAGATGAACATGAATTGACGATGGTATCAGTGATGGCCAGAKTGTTTAAGTGGAAAATTACAAAAAATATATAACATGTCTGCGGACTCGTAGCTACTGTTATCTTAGATTCTCATCCCAGACATCTGTTCAAAGCTAATTTTGTTCGCTATTTCAATAACTTTTTTTCGCCTTGTTTAATCATTARACTGATACCATCTTTTCCAATGAGTGACTAGATTTTTCTGTATTATAATTACTATTTTTTTCAAATTTTCCCTTTTTGAACTTACCTCAAACTTCATGCATCGAAATGGACGATTTCAAGCTCAAAGTCTGCGGTAAAAAAAATCTAGACTGTTTATAAATAAATAATTCAAATTATTTACAAAAGCGATAAAAATAATTTTCTCTAAGTGCATGCATGATCATATAGTCGTTTGATATCGCTGACCACTTTTTGGCAAACTGCATTTCTTTACTTAGAAGGGTGACTTTGATTTTTTTCCTCGCAAAAATCATTTATAGATAAACAAAATGATTATAAGTACTTTAGGAATGCAAAGCATGTATTTTTAGCCTTCTTTCGTTGTGCATTGTGCTGGCCTCGATTTGTCTCGATTTGTCGTTCGTGGTTTTTTTTTTTTTTTGTAATTTCTTTTTTTTTTTTTATCCAAGTTCTTTTTGAAAAAAGCTGTTTATATCCCACCTTTTGTGTTAGGCTTTTCATTTCTCTTTGGTGTTATATATTTTTTTTCTAAAAGGACAATTCATACGTGAGAGTAAGATCTGTTAGAAGCAAAGATACAAAAGCTTCCAAGATTTCTTTGGTTTGCG